TTTATGTTTCACATTTGTGAATCCACTTGAAGAGACTACTACTATTTCCAGATGATCTTATCCTTGAAATGAACGATTTCAGAACAGCCTTCAGGTTACTGATTAGAAATTCAGTGTTCACAAGTGCCTATAATTATACATTTTATTACACAGTGATCTGTCCTAACACAGATAACATTCACGATTTTCTTCCTAATCCCTCACTGAGAGTAAAATATTAAGCAAACTGCATTGGAAGCACAACTTTGTCAACGCAGAATCTACCAATGGCACTGTTGCGTTGGCCGCCTGTTAATGTTCTGAATGATATACCCCTTGTTAATGACTACAGTTGTAGCAATTCTCTCATTGCAAAACGTGATTGTTAAAGTAACTTTAAACAGAGAGGTTTAACCCCCCCCCACTGGTCAGATGTCAAGTCTTTTAGCAAAGCAGGCTTGGTGCTTCTTGTTCGGGCTCTGTGGATGGGGCACTCAGGAACGGACAAGTTGTGTAGCCTGGCTGCCAAGCAGTTGGAGTAGATTTGCTAGAATGCATTCAGAAATAGCTAGATGAGATCCTTGGATAAAGAGCTTACAGGCAACTAGATTAATAAAATGGGCCACTGCTCTCTCCCAATTTATAATCTTTATTTTCTTGTTCTGAGCCTGAGTACATAAACTATAATATGCTAAAGAAAGTCAAATTAGCTTGAAGTCCCTAACCTTGCTATTACCTTGAAATATAAGGGCCCTCAAACCTTCTTATGTATTTCTTGGACTAAGTCATAACTAAATCAGTCCCAAAATCATTTCTGCTTTGCAATTTTGAACAATTTCCCCAATGACATGTTTTCAATTCCCTTTTTCTGTGCTTTTTTTATTTCATCAATCCATTGAATAGCAGAGATGTCCTAGGAAGTCAGGGACGCTTGTTGGTACGTGCTCTTCTGTTAATTTTCAGATGTTATCTATTCACTCCTGACAAACGGAAGTTGAGTAGCCTTGACAGAAACAAAAAATAATTTATTGGAATGGCTCTGATGCAAGTGCCAGATTTCAGGTGCGTGTGAACAATTGAAACAGAAATTAAATACACCTACCAAGGTTTATACTCGCTTAAATCGCTTAAATATACTTTATATTTCCTGATTGTACTGTACAAGTATCCTGCATGCTGAATGGAATGGATGAATGATGTTACTACAACAAACTACAAATACACTCAGTTCATTATGAATCAGAGCATTTATTGATTTCAAACAAAGAGCCTCCCTTTGTGAACATGATCCTACCTACACTGTTTGCACTGCTAGGGAATGATGCTTTCATAAAAATCAGCACAATCTAAGAAAAAATGTTGTTTATATAAGGGACTTTGCTTTTCAAAGTAATGTACGGTAAGATACTTTTAATAGGAAATGTGATACTTTACATAACTCTACACACACTACATACACCATCATGAAGGATTGTCTTAATTATCTCCTTATACTTTGTCAGCTTTAAAAAGCAGTCCTGAATCAAGTAACTTGTCTTTTAATTAATACATTATTTTTCCCCAACACTGACAGTTGGAAGGTAAATGTTTAGATTCTGCATAGTCACACAAAAACCTATACAGTAGTATGAATAATAAATCTGAAGACTGATTATTGTGGACCAGTTAGCTTAACCAGAAAACACAGAGTGAAGACCGGCACACTGTAAACAGGGGCTTTAGTGCAAAAGTCTATGATTGTTTTGCAGATGCCAAAACGGGAAATGCAGAAAACAAATAGTAGGTATACTGTATTAGATAAGAGCAATCTTCTTCTTTGCATTTTTCCCACTTATGTGGGGTCTGCTTGTTTGCACCAATTTTTCCACTTTGTACGATCTGAGGCGTCTCGGCAGGTGACTTTTGCGAGGCGCATGTCAACTTTCAGCCGATCCAGCCAGCGCGTAAATGGCCGTCCACGGGGCCGGCGGCCTTCCACATTCAATTCGAGGGCGGTCTCTGCCATTGATGTGTCATTGTTGCGGAGCACGTGTCCATACCATCGCAGGCGCGATTCCCTCATTTTCTCAGTGATTGGGGCGACTTTGAATGTTTTTCGCACCCCTTCATTCATGACATGGTCTAGTCTCGTCAAGCCGAGGGTCCATCGCAGCATCTTCATTTTCATTTAGATAAGGAGCAATATCCGTTTCATTTAGATAAGGAGTAATATCCGTTCTTAAAGGAGAGGCAACAACTTCAGAAGGCAAATCTGAAAGTAAAAGTCAGTTCTTCCATGAGAAAATAACCTGCACCACATAGCTGAAGTAAACCTAAATGAACTCAAAAGGAAAACTGAGGCTCAAGACAACCCTGTGACAGTGCCTTAAAACCAACTGAAATAATATAGGATGAGACAGAAAATGAAAGAATAATAGAGTGCAAGCCTCATAAATGTGCTATGAGGGATTATTAAAAAAAATGTTAAGGGAAAAAAAGATACACTATGAAAGTTGCCTAACAAAGGGTCCAGAGTGTGTGCAGCTGTTACAGCAGACAAGGGGGTATTCTGATAAGATACGTTTGCAGTAAAATTAAAAAAAAAACATTCTGCTGTATTTCTATTTTATGACAAATAACTATTCATTCAAAAGCAATAGCTTATCTGATTTTTACTGTAGTGTATATGTCAGAATGTCTGCATATATTTTTGACTGCCAGTTTAAATTAATTTCCTTAATTTACTTGTGAATTAAGATTCAGCCTTTTCTTCAGTTTAATATGATATTGTGCATTGGTTGAAGACTTGCGAAAGAATTAAGGTAACAAGAACAGCTGTTACTGATCCTAGGTTTGTCGTAAATCATATGTTGCTGTGTAGAAATCCAGAAGGGTTTAAGGTTTGCTTATGGCAAAAATAGAAAGAGCTCAGATTTGCATTCTGTGATATTTTCCATTTGCTGCTTGAGGAGACCAAGGCTTAAAGTCCATGGCTGTAACGTCAATGATATCTGTTGAGGGCATGGTATTGAAGATATAAGGACACATATAAGGACACATTCTGCAACAAAGAACAAATTGTAACAATAATATGGGAATGGGGTCAGGCCTCAGCTGCCATCTTGAGCTCAAACAGCACAAACCTTCAACAGCATACAAAACTCATCATCAGGCACATAAATATGACTGTACCTGTTTTAGCCTTCACTTTCTGGCATTTTTAAATAATATTGTTCAATTCCGGACCTTGGGTGCTACAGTATCTCCTTGGAGTTTGTATCTCTCCATGCTTGTGTTTGTTTCCTCTGGGTGCTCTGGTTTGGTCCCACAGTGCAAAGACATACCTGCAGGTTCATTGGCTTCTGGGAAAAATGACCCTGGTGTGTGTGTCTTTGTGTGCCCTGTGATGGATGGTTTCCTATCCAGGGTGTACCCTGCCTCTTGCTTGTTGGAATAAGCTACAGCTTTCCTTTGATGCTGAAATGGAAAAAAACACTTAGAAACTGGATGGATGCATCTACAGTTTTATATGTTTCAAAAATATGTTACTGTATACTTTGGATCAACAGTAAAAAGTTCTGCATTGGGTTGAGCATCTCAGGGTTCCAAATTATTGGCACTCTGTTATGTAGTATTACAGTGGTGTCCTAAGTGAACCAGGATAGAAATGCCTTGGTGTTAATGTGCCTAGCATGACAGGAAAAGAAACCATCATGCAAGAGAGAAGAAAAGACAGTTGTAGTGTGCCTTGTCTGGTCAAAAAAAAAGATAAGATCATTCCCTTGGAAATGCTCCCATTGTAAGCAAGTTTTCATTTTGGAGTTTATTTCATTTTTAGTTTTGTCAGCTGTTATTTAAAGTTTACAAAATGAGGTGGAGAAATGTAAGACAGTCTAAAATCAACAGCACGTTATAATTAATCCTATGCATTCTCTGTTACACTGAAAATGTTTAACTTGTTAGTACAGCCCAGACAGATTGTAAACTGGATTAGCATTATACCATTTGTGGATGAAAATGACTATGGATTCTGTGATGCTTTTTTAATTGGCATCATGAGGCGGAAGAGCTGTGAAGAGCTGTGTCAATCACATAACAGAATGAAGGTCACAGCTCCTCCATGAAGTAACTAACCTAGAGAAGTGCTTATTGTTTTAGTATTCACTTTTTCCCAATTCGTCCCTAAAACATCTACAGTACATAACATTCGGATCGGTGCCTTCTCATTCAGTTCGGGCTGTTTTGTCAAATCAGGCCATTATTGTGACACAAAGAAACCGCGGTTTGAGCTGTTCTATGATTAAACTGAAAAACCGCCATCTCCAAATAAGTAATAGCGGTGGTAACTCAATTGTTTTCTAAGTCCATGAACTCTGCACTCCCTCCTGCAATACATACTTACCTTCAGCAGCGGTTTTTTCTCCCACAACAGAATCAAGTTGGACACTTACCTAGAACCACGAGCATTGATTTAAGGTTCTTACGTAACCACGAAAACAGGAATTATTTGCTTAATATTATCTTGCAGCAGCAGTTCTAGAACCCCCCCTCCCCCCAAAAAAATATTTTTTGCACTATTATTCAATAATGAACTGACAGCTGTGTTATATTTAAACTGGCAACGTTTCCATTATTATGAAAAAATACGGAGTCGAAATCTGAAGGTACACTTTCTGGATAGAAACAATACAATAATTACAAATTAAACAGATAACAGACCTAATCAAATATATATATATATTCCATACATTTCGATACTTCGATGCAACAGCTTAATTCAATGTGAAATTATAGAATGTATGCATATTAGTATGATTTGGCCAGAAATTCCAAAAATGATAGAGTAACAGTTGGTATAACTGTATGATTCTTTATCATCAGAAACGCACAATGTCCGCTACCTCGCTTCAATGTCCTACCACTTAAGAAAAATTGACCTCAGAAAACTACGTTAGGAAAAACGTGTGCGATTACTGCAATCACACACTTTTATGAGCTCCCTGTTTGTTGTATGTGGCGATATTTACCTTGAATTTCTTTTTTTTCAATGCTGGTGACTCATGGAGTTGTTGAATGGAAGCCAGGGCTTTAAAACCGCTCCATTCCTATGTTCTCAAGTACAACGTCGAGGCCACCTCTCTCACTACATTCACGGCACGTTTGGAAGAGTAATTTATCATAGCAATGAAGACCATATTTTCACTGCTTTTATATTTCATAATATTAAGTAATGGATTCGCTGCAGTTATTACAGGGGTAAGTTTCAAGTATTTATTTCTGGAGGTGGGTTAACTACTAGCTATTTTATTTTGTGCTAAGGCAAAGGTTTTCTGAACATCAACATGTGTGTATTGAAAGTGAAGAGTTTTCTATGAATTATTAGTAGAGGTGATAATAGAAGTAGTGTTCAATTGACACAGTGATGTTTCACCAGAGCAAAAAGCAACAGGTATCTACTGTAAATGACATTTCAGCATAGTTACGTTTTGCCTTATGAAATATTAAATACTGTAGATAAATATTTTCTACAAATGTAAAGTGTAGTTTCCGGTGCAAAACATTTCGAAACATGTCAACAAACATAACTTCTAGTTTGTTGACAATTTATAGCATAATACATTTGTTGGATAAAACTATAATAAATAATTGTATTTAACAGGAAAATAAATATTATATATACCCATATCCTTAGTCTGTAATATTTTTGACTTTTTTGAAAACTGTTTTGTTTTCATCTTTGTTCTGCTGCATGTGTCTTATTAAATGGGTTATGAAGACCCTTGCAGCAATATTTCAGCACTTCCACTGCATGTTATTTAAACATTGTTAGAAAGTGCTTTTTATTCAAAGAAATATCAGCTTCCAGACCCCCGTTTCATGTTTAATGTGACATGTTTTGTTGACAATTTATAGCATAATAAATTTGTTGGATAAAACTATAATAAATAATTGCATTTAACAGGAAAATAAATATTATATATACCCGTATCCTCAGTCAAATCTGAAACAAGTGTATGAAAACATGGGTATTTCGTTTACATTTTCTTGAATTTTGTTTTACCCATGAAATAAGAATAAAATATAATAGCTTATGCATAAACATAATATACTTATGTTATAGTAGTAGACCATTATATAAATAGCAGGGATATTGACACTGGGCAAATAATTTTCTTAAACCAAGCAATAAAAAGAAATTAAAAATATTTTAATTGGTATAATAACAAATTTGGATGCATTACTAAATTCAATGGCTATTTTAAATAGAATTCTGTTTCTGTGAGGTGAATTTATATTTACATAAGTTCCTGAGAAGAGTGCGTTTATACAAAATGTGAAACAGGAAACTCAGCATACACACATGTATGGAAACAGGACATGGTATAACTGTATGTCATATATTTGAAACATGCATGAACAAAAGCCTAAATCATAGCAAGAGGTTCAATTCCAATTGTCTGCTTTGTTCTAAAACAAAATGTGGCCTTTCCATAACTGTAGCTACAGTGACTCTATAAGAAAATTAGGCTATTTTTCTCCTATACAATTATGATAATTAAAAATGAAAATCACCATACAGCCTCTTGAACAATTTAAGGGACTAATTTAGTCATTTAGGCTACCTAGATATGGAACCTTCAGCTCTTTACTGTGAATTGCTTTCTTGTAAATTATTTTTTCCACTTCTGCTTTCATAAAATGCAGTATCATGTCCAACCTGTCTGCAGGGACTAAATTCAATATTTATAAAGCATTTCTACCTCTATACAAAGTGAAAGAGCATTAACAATTAGCATATTGACAGATTCTCACTACTTCTGTGTAAGTCAAGGAACTGTTCCAGAAAAACATCAGTCGTCTTTTCTTTCCTTCTGTGCATCAACAGGAATAGAAAGATCAAACAAGAGTCAAGTATCCAGTTACCACAAAAGACCACAATGGTCTTTTGACAATGTTATTAGATAAACAGGACAATTCAGCAAGGATAATATCAAACAAGCTTTTCTGTTGGGAATACTTTCTCTGGTCACAAAGATGCAAAAATGAACATGAAATAATTGAAAAATGTGATTGATATCCATTGTCATTCAAATCTAAATATTACCTTATATGTGGAGTCAGAATAATTAAGAAATAGGCATTAGATTATTTCCTGAATATTATTCTTTCTCAAATCAGATTTTACTGCAAGGGTTTACTAAAAGAGTGTATCTTCTTGGATATAGGATTTGATGTAGATACAAACCAATTAATAAGACACATTTGATCTTTTAATTCCCTGTAGAGTCTAATTATAACTAGATATATTTTTCTAGTTTTTGTGATACTCATGCAAATTTCACGTCACACCCTGTGCCGCTACAGTAACTAGCTGTGTCTCCACAAAGGCTAAAACTGCAATTGGAGCCATCCATACGAAGTATGGGCAATTATCAGTGCCATATGCCACATTAATAGATACTTACCTCAATATCCCTCCCTCTAGTATTCAAGTTTCGCCTCATTCCATGCTCAGTGCTCAATCAACAAGTCTATTCCCCTATAGCTCCAGCATGTTCCCTTCCAGCCCTCACTCTTACCCTTGACTGTGTTCTTAATTCCATTGGGCTAGTTTGTCTTCTGTGTTTCTGGCCACAACCCTTGCAACCTCATCAAACAAGATCTGGATCTTCCTTCAGTCTACAAACTGTGTGTCACTTCACCCAGCTGTGGGAGCGGTGCTTTCAGTTTCTCTTCCACCTGCTGCCTGTTGATCACTCTGAGCCCAGCTATTTGGTTCAATCTCCTGTCCTTCAGTCGCTGCACACTGCAGGTTAGTACAGCAATATAACAGAGTGACTGAGCCAACAGATTCTAGCCAGCCACAATCCTGCCCTGAGAGCAAAATCTTCCAGTGTTCTGAGGCTGAAGGAGTTCATGCAGAACCTCTAAAACAACTAACAGCTTTTTGCAGAAACCTTTTGGCAGGTTTTTGATACTTTTTGATACTCCTGGATGTCGCCAAGTCCACACATCTGCTATGGCATCTCAGGCAGGATAACCATCCAGCGGCCATTATGCATTCCAGTTTAGAACCCTGGCCTTCAAAAGTGGATGGGGAGAAGAGGTGCTCATCACCTTATTCCGGGCAGGAACACCAGAGGAATTTAAAGATGAGATGGCCTTCTGAGACCTCCTCTTTCCTTGTAGTCTCTTATTGTCTCGCCGTCCACTTATACACCTTCCTGAAGGATTACCAACAGGAGAAGTACGCAATTCATCGGTGGAACCTCCATCGTGACCTCCATGTTCTCCCCCTCTCAACCAGCTGAGGTTTTCCTCATGCTGACAGAGCTCTGGCCAGCACCAGTGAGAAGCCGATCCAGATCGGGAGAGCCTGGCTCTCACTTTCAGAGCAACTTTGGTGCTACAGGGAGGGACAATCCATTTACCGAGGGGGAGAAGGTCACGGGTGCAACATATGCCCCAAGCTGCCAGGAAATGCCTCAGCACAGTAAGCATTGCGGAGTGATGACTGAGAGGGGTGACTGCTTCTCCTCAAACACTTTTGAGAGTGATGGTCCCTACCTCACTGTTGTGAAACTCACAGTCTACTCATCTGGATGCCTTTTTGGATTCTAGAGCAGCCAGGAATTCTATTGACTGATTTTATAACTTGAACCTCTTTCCGCTGATCTCCTCAATTGCCAAGACTTTCTCTAAAATTGACCTGATATGTTTGCATACATCCTGGTATGAATGCGAAAAGGGGACAAGTGGAAGATGGCTTTCAACACCAGCTCCGGGCACTATGAATATGCCCTTCAGTCTCTGCAATGCTCCCACCAAAATCTAACATCTTCTGAGAATTCATGGTTGACTTCATGGTCCTCTGTGTGGACAACATCCTCATTTATTCTGACTCCCTTTGCGTGGTACGTCAGGCAGGTGGTATAGCAACTCCGATGGCAACATCTTTTCTAAGATGGAAAAGGATTAATTTAGCCAGCTGGATGTGATTTACCTTGGGCACAGAATGTCCTCTGCTGGACTCCAGGTGGACCCTTGCAAGGTAGTAGCAGTTAAGGACTAGCCCACTCCATTCTTGCTGAAATAGTGCAACACTTTGTGGGCTTCATCTGTTTCTACAATCTCTTCTTCAAAGATTTCAGCATGGTGGTGGCTCCACCATCACCTCCATCACCTACCAACACCTACCAACATCTACCTACCATCACCTACTAACTGAATTTGAAGAAAGGGAAGGTCAATTCCATGTTCCAGATCCACTGCTCCAACAAAGTCTCTTTGATTCCAGAGCATATCATACTGACTGCCCAGATCCTTTGCATCATCCTACTGCAAGTGGAAGAGGCAATGTCGGCAGCACCGGCCTCTGAACCCGCTCCGCTCTATGCTCCCCCAGACAAACGATTCATTCCATTTTAAGTCCACCCAGAAGTATTGTGGTGGGGCCACAGTTCCAGGTTTGCATCCAGCGCCCTGCATAGGTAATTCTTGGATATTTCTGGCTGGCCCTCAATGAGGACGTACATCGAGGACTTCATGGCATCCTATCCTACCTAAAAAAGGGTTAAGGACCCAAGAACAGTG